TCGTTTGCCCGAGCAGACGATGACTGCTGCCCAGACCGTGATGACCTCGTAGACTCCGGTTGTCGAGGTGGTTGTCTAGATGCTCTCCCCGACGTAACTCATCCAACACTCAATGGCGACCATGAGCCGGGCTATGGTCGAGCTAGTCCACGCCTTGGAGTTGGTACAAAGGGAAGAAGCCGCCTAGCGGAAGATAGAAGAGGAGCATGAGATCTGCCAAGGGCATATCCACGCCCTCAACAACGTGGTCACCAAAATATCCTTGCTGGAAAACCATCTCGTACTCCAACAGGGCGAGGCCACCAAGGCCAAAGAAGTGGCAAAAAAGGCCGTCGACGAGCTGGCCCACGAAAGGACGTCTTCGGCTGCCAAGATGGCCGCATTGAAGAGCCAACATATGGTCGAGCTCGTCGAGAGCGAGACAGAATGGGCGGACTAGGTGGCCGAGCTCGAGAAGAAGCATTACACTGCGGAGCTACATGCGGTGAGGACTGCCGAGCTCCGCTAGAAATATGTAGAGAGAATTTCTGAGCTCGACGCCTATGGCGCTAAGATGGGGGACTAGGTTTGCCTTCTTAAGGAGGCCGCGAAGCTCGACGGCAATCCCATTGCCCTGCCCCCACCATTGTCCTTTGGCGAGGTTCAGGTCCAATATTTCAATGAGATGTGGCGGTGCATGCATGGATGTCTCCGCTGCCTTCAATATTTACTGGCTATTCCAGAGGGTTGACGTCGGGATGCTCTCCGTTGACGACTTTAGGGCAATCATATGGGCTAAAGTCGCGAGGTATGATCTTGACTTCAAGGGCATGGTCTGCGATATTGACAACGACGAGGCCGCGGGTCCACCAGCTTAAAGGTTGGAGTGACGACATCACCGTTGCCTCCAGAAATTTGGAGTCGTGCCCTCGGAAGAGCGATGCCTGGAGCCTAGAGAGCAACTGGCCGGGTACGAGCCGTTTAGGCTAGGGGCCGAGGCGGTGATTGGCAACAAGGCGGGCCCCTCGGGCGTCGACAAGAGTGCGACTGATGTCGAGCCGGTGATTGGGGCTTTAGCGACCGTCCTCCTAGAAATGGACGAAAAGCTTCTGGTGTCGAGCTTGCGGCCCCGGCTCAAGATGGAGGGAGACGGGGGCCGGACCGACGGTCGAGGACGAGATTATTTTAACGGAAACTGAGGTCATCCCTGCTGCCAATCCGGAGACTTAGACGGACACGGCAGGCCCGTCTTCAAGCTCGTGAGCCGACAAATAGCTTTTTCTTTTTGGGCCTGCACGCTTTTTGCTGACCTAATGTGGTCTTTTGAACAATTTCTTTTTAAGCATTTTTTTTTCTTTTTAAAGATTTTTTTATTTTGAACTTGTGCAGGGATGCCGATTTGGCTTTGTTAAATTACTATGATCAAATATTTTAACTTTTGATGAAATGAAGAATGTTATCTTTTATTGTCGTCGGGTTTTGTTATTTACACTTTTGATTTCGCCTTGGTTATTTCGACTTTGTCTTGATTTGATTCGTGTATTTTGGTTGATCTTTACCGAAACTACCGAGCTTACTAGATTCTGACGTTTTTCTTTATTTTATCGGGTTGCTTATTGAGCCCGGCCCACGTGATTACATTGTTACTTAATCACGGCGGCTTTGGTCTAACCGGGTTTCTTATCGAACTCGGTGACCTCTTGGCCTGACCGTGTTGTTTGTTGAGCCCGACTTCTTTCGCTTACTTATGTTGGACTCGATGGTACTTTGGCCTGACCGGGCTACCTTGCTGAGCCCGGTTTGTGCAGTTTCTTAGCACATAATTACGTTGGCTGCTTTTTACCTGATCGAGTCATTTGTTGGACTTTGATGGTATTTTGGTCTGACCGGGCTACCTCCCTGAGCCCGACTTGTGGTTTCTTAGCACATAATTGCGTTGGATGCTTTTTACCTGATCAAGTCACTTGTTGGACTTCGATGGTATATTGGCCTGACCGGCTACCTTGCTGAGCCCGACTTGTTCAGTTTTCTAGCACATAATTACGTTAATTACGCAGCTCGCGACTCGATCCTAACTCAAACATCCTACCTGCTAAAAGTAAAAGTATAATGACAAACATTTTCCATATAATTTTATTACAAGTAAGTTGCAAAATGTAAAGCCCTAGACTTATTGGTAGAACTTTTTGAGAAATGCCGAGTTTCATGAGTATTGGTAGAGGGTGCCGTCCAGGTGTTCTAGTCGGTAGGCCCCATGTGGGAGGACCTCACTGATTTTGTAGGGCCCTTCCCATTTTTGTTTTGAGGGGTCCGTGGTCCCGTCCCATCACCCTTTTGAGCACCAGGTCACCGACTTGGTACGGGCGTGGTTTGATTTAGGAGTTGATATATCTTTCATTCTGCCTTTTGTATGCGGCGTTTTTTAGCTCGGGTTGTGACCGGTGCTCATTTATCAGGTCGAGGTTTGCTCTCAGAGACTCGACGTATGATGTCTCTTCAAAGTTGGTTACTTGATAAGTCGGGGCGCCGAGCTCAACTGTGATCATCGCCTCGGACCCGAATGAGAGGGAAAATGGTTTTTCGCCGGTGGACAACCTAGTCGTGGTGCGATACGACCATAGTACGCCAGGAAGTTCGTCTGGCCAGGCCCCCTTTGCTGCTTCTAGTCGGACTTTGAGTCCTTGTTTGATTATTTTGTTCACGGCTTCGACCTGGCCGACTGAATGGTAGGGGGTCGAGAAGAAGTTCTTGATGCCGTGTTTTTCGCAGAATGCCCATAACTTTTTTTCCTTCGAATTTTGTTTCGTTGTCCGTGATTATGGAGCTTGGCACTCCAAATCGACATATTATCGATTTCTAGAGAAAGTCGATCATCTTTTGCTTGGTTATTGTACCTAGAGTTTCGGCCTCTGCCTATTTTGTGAAGTAGTCGACAGCGACGATGACGTACTTTCACTCCTCATTTGCCCATTGGCAGCGGGCTAATCAGGACGATACCCCAATTGCGAATGGCCACGGGCTGAATATTGACTTCAGGGGTTGAGAAGGTTGAATGACATTGGGTGCGAAAACATGGCATTTGGTACATTTTCGGGCCATCTCCAGGGCATCCTTTTTTAGGCTCGACCAATAGTAGCCTTGCCTTAGAACTTTATGGGCAAGGGCGTATCTCCTGGAGTGGTTTCCGCATACGCCTTCGTGGATTTCCTTCAAGATGTATTCGGCGTCTTTTTCGCCTACACACTTCAACAGGGGTGCCGAGTACCCCCGTTCGAATAGTTCGCCGGCCACGATCGTAAATCGAGTTGCCCGTACGCGAAGCTGTCTGGCCTCTTTTGGGTCAGGTGGCAACGCCCCGGTCTTGAGATACAACCTGATCCACTCTATCCAGGTTGGGTCTTTATCGTTGGCAGACTGCCCAACACATAAAATGGAGGTGTCGACCATGGACAGTTGTTCCTTGTGCCCGACCTGGACGTATTCAATGCTTTCCATTTCGGCGCTCGAGGCAAGTCGGGCTAGAGCATTGGCTTGCACGTTCTCTGACCTGGAGACGTGCTCCATTCGAGTTCGGGATTTGTCCAGTCTCTTCTTCACCAAGCCGAGGTAGGGGATGAGCCTGGGCTCCATCACTTCGTGCTCACCGGATATTTTCTTGACCATTAGTATTGAGTAGGAGTGTATGACTAGGTCGGTTAGATCCATGGCTTCTGCTAAGGCCAGCCCGGACAACAATGATTCATATTCGGCTTCGTTATTCGTCGCCGGAAAGAGGTATTGGATCGAGTGACAAAAGGGCTTCTTTTGGGGATCCACGAGGATGACCCCTCCACCTACTCACTCGGCGGTGGAGGATCCGTCGACGTACATCACCCAAGGATCCTCGTCTCTCATCTCCTCGACTCCCGGCGTGAATTCGACTGTGAAGTCCGATAGTACCTGCCCCTTTATTGCTGTTCGGAGTGGGTAGTGAATATCGTATTGCCCCAACTCGACCCACTTGACCATCCGACCCGAAGTGTCGGGTCGGTGGAGGATTTTCCTTAAAGGATAGCCTGTGAGGATGGTTACTGAGTATTCGAGGAAGTATGGTCTCGGCTTCCGAGCTGCGGTCACGAGGGTGAACGCCAGCTTTTCCATTGGGGCATATCGCAGCTCGGCATTGTGTTGTGCTTTGCTCACATAATAGACGGGATACTGGCACGAGGCCTCTTCCCTGATCAGGGCGGCACTTATAGCGACTTCAAAAACTCCCAGATATAAGTACAACATCTCTCCGGGGTGGGGATTCTGCATTTTTGGAGCTCAACGACTTTTGACATTCGGGAGTCCAATTGAACTGGTGATTTTTCTAAATTGCCTCGAAGAACGGTTTGCACCGATCTGTCGACATGGAAATGAACCGACTTAGGGCGGCGAGTTTCTCTGTGAGGCTTTGAACTCCTTTGATTGGGGTCGGTGGCCAGAGGTCTTGTATGACCTTTATTTTTTTTGGGATTCGCGTCGATGTCCCACTCTGACTAGCAATGTATCCTAAAAATTTACCTGAGCGGACGTCGAAAGTACATTTTAATGTAAAAATATAATTAAAATAATCATATTTCACAATTTTAGTGTAAAAGAGGGGAGTCATTTTCAATAATTATCACTTTATTAGTTATTTATTATTGTTGTATTCTCATTCTGCATACAATAAAAATATTAATTATTTTACTTTTTTATTGTACAAATAGTAATACTTAAGTACCCGTTTGGTAAACAAGTATCATACTAGTTTCTTATATTTTAAAATATTACAATTTATACAAACGTTAATACGTTATACTTAATTGGGATTTACTTTATTGTAGTAAATTCATACAAATATAATATAGAAAAAATATTTTTTAATGACAGTTTTATTAATATTTTAAATTATTTATTTAATTAATTGCAAACGTATTTAGAGTGATGTGTAAGAATATGCGAATTACATAAATTTTAACGTAGCAAAAACTCCAAATTTTGCAAGAACAATAAAGTGAACGAAAGTTTATTATCCAATACAGCCTGATTATCGAATGATGCCATTCAATGTCACTTTTTGCACAATTTATTCAAATTACACGCAGATCGTATAGAATGTAAGGTTAGTACAATCCAATTCGAAATTCATTCAGGTCAAACCATTAAACAGAAATACAAAAACTAGCCTAGCCAATTTCAAACTGAAAAGATATAGCAGCGCCAGAAATGTAGAGTTAATTGAACAATCTAAATTTAAAACGCTCTAGCAGATTTCCGCTTCTAGGCAGTTGTATTTTATCTAACAGAGAAGCGCTTAAAAAACTTGTCTGATATTAATGTTAATTCTGGAAGTCCTGATGTACTTTAAGTAATGTTGATCGTCTTCTGCAGCAAACTGAGATTCAAGATTGGATATTTCGGCATTTTCTGCATCAGTAAAAATACGAGGAACACCTGATAGCCAAAATAACGGAAAATTAGCACAAGTCTGAGACCAAGTTATATACTATTATATCTGTTCTAATGGATAGCATCCAATGCCTTCTAAGTTTAAATGGAAGGAAAGTGTCATCTTCATTATCATCACACTCCAAGAACATCAGGTTCATTAGAATTATACATAAACTGTTAACCAACCAGATAAACATACCATCAGATGACCCTTAAATCCGAAAGTAGACACATATGGAAGTGTGAATATAATATATGATTAGTTTGATAATTATATGCAGTTAGTTGATGCACACAATACGTAATACAAACCAAAAAGTCTTATATTTTTCACGCCAATGTTGTTTCCAGGATATGGTTGGAGAAGGAAGCCTTATCCCAAGAAACATATATCATTACCGCATATTTTGGCACACAAGTGAACGGCAGTAAATTTGGTCCAAATAAAAAAAACCAGCTATGTGTGTGATTTGACGGTTAAAAAAAGAAACATATATCATTCACCCTACGCACTGAGTTTTTAACCATTGGATCAACCCACACAAGTGTGTTTGTATGTGTGTGATTTGACGGTTAAAAACCAGCTATGGGCACTTGCCCACACCAGTAAGGTCAAATTCTTCCTAGTGAACATCCCAACCTAACAATCAAATTAATCGGTCACACGATAAGCAACGTTTTCGAAGATTAGTTAGTAGAGACCACCAATAGCAAGCAATATGACATGGATGGAAATAGAATAGCTACCATTGTATCTAAATGGCACATAAGAAGCACAAAAACGTATATTACCGTGAAAACACTCCCTTGCTTCTCCAGCCATTAGTACAACATCACCACTTCTGAGGAACATTGCAATTGGTTTATCATCCCTTGATTTGCCGCCGAGGAGGAAAATAGCTTTGCAACCCAAACTGATGAAAGAATATATCTTAATGTTGATACTAGTACACACTTTGGACAAGAACAAGAAGAAAAACAGTGTTGACCAAGAATGAAAAAAGGTGCTTGTAGTACACTACCTCATGCTCACAATAGGTTTACTCCAATCTTTTTCCATGTCATCTAGGTGCCCACCAAGCATATCACCTAAAAGAAAA